AAGAAAGAAGGGAAAAAGGAATGAATGAAGGAAGGGCAGGAAGGAAGACAAGAAAGGGAAAAGGGAAGGAAGAAAGTGAGGGGGAAAAAAGAAAGGAAAGGAAAGGAAAAGAGGAAGTAAAACAAGGAAGGGGAAAAGGGAAGGAAGGAAGACTAGAAAGGGAAAAGGGGAAGGAAAGAAAAGGAAGGAAGGATAGAAGGAAGGAAGGAAAGGATGGATGGAAGGAAGGAAGACAAGAAAGGGGAAAAGGGAAGGAAGGAAGTGAGGGAAAAAGGAAAAGAAAGAAAGGAAAAGAAAGGAAAAGAGAGGAAGTAAAACAAGGAAGGGAAAAAGAGAAGGAAGGAAGACTAGAAAAGGAAAAGGGGAAGGAAAGGAAAGGAAGGAAGGAAGGAAGGAAGGAAGGGTAGAAGGAAGGAAGGAAAGGATGGATGGAAGGAAGGAAGACAAGGAAGGGAAAAAGGGAAGGAAGGGAGGGAGGGAGGACATACATTTAAGGCTTTCCAGGAAATGTAAAAATAAAATAAAATAAACGCATTGTGAAATGTTCTTCATTTTTACATTGCCAAAATTAAAAAGAACGGAAAACATCTAGGCAGGGTGAGCTGTCTTGCGCTTCCAGCGAAGGCCACTTGATTAGTTAAGCAAAAATATTCTTAGGAGAGCAGCTCTTAGATCTAATTTGGCTTGCCACACACTGTGTGGATGTAAAGCATTTTGTGACGATAATCTAATTTGCTGGGAAACAGGATTCCAAATTCGCTGAGGCGACTCGCAGGGCTGGTATTGCCCTGTCTGATGTTTGCTTCATGTAGGTATAATGGGTTTCCTAATGATCTCATTCTACGGGGTGAAAAAAAAAAATCCCTTCATGGGACATTTTAATGCTCCAGGATTTAGGATTCTATTTCATTTTAATTGAGCCTTGCACTAAGACTTGTCAGTAGGAATTAATCAGGAATAAACAATAGGTCTTTGTTACTTACTTGATGCCATGGACAGGAAAGCGGGCTCCGAGCATTTAATTAAGCGTGCCACCATAAAACAAATGGATATAGTCTGACCTTAACTTGGTGAACCAAACATTGAAATGTCCTTCTAGGTCAGGAAAATGGTAGGGCAAGGGTCTTCAAACTTGGCAACTTAAAGACTTGTGGACTTCAACTCCCAGAATTCCTCAGCCATGGGAGTTGAAGTCCACAAGTCTTAAAGGTGCCAAGTTTGAAGACCCCTGGTATAGGGTTTCCTGCCTGAGCAGGGGGTTGGACTAGAAGACCTCCAGGGTCCTTTCCAGTGCCGTTAAAATCTTGAGATGCTCATTCATCCATGATTCAATGGAGTACCTCTGACCACTAGGACAATTGCCTTCCATCGTACGGTCCTTCTGTCTCTTTCTAACATCTTCAAGATGTGAATCACAGAGCTACAAGTAGTCCTTCACGTATGACCACAATTGAGCCCAAATATATATGTTGCTAAGTGTCAAGGTAATGATTTAGAAACTAACCGGCTTTTATAATGTGAAATGAATGATGCAATGTTAGGAATGACTCAGCAGGTGTGTATATCCCTTTAAGAGCTTGAGTATAAAAGGGAAGGCCTTGCTGGAGTCTTTCTCTCTCATCCTTTCCTGCTGTAATTGCTGTGTATTGGAGTTTTGCTGAATTATCACCATGTGTATGTATTTTGTTTCTAGTATATTTGTAGATATTGTAACATAAACCACCATTTAATACAAACCACCGTTTACTGTATTTTCTCCTGGGTTACCTCAGCGCAATAAGACTGTGCAATTCCCCCCCCCCCCCATTTCTCTTTTCTTTCTTTCTTGCACTTTTAGTTCTCCCTTTGATTTCTTTCTTTTTCTTTATGTTCGTCTACATTAGTTTTTGTTTTCCTTTTAAAAATATTAAAATATTTTGCAAATATTTGTGCAGCATCTATTCCTGCAACTTCTGGCAGTTGACAAACCATACTATTGAGGCAACATACAGTAGATTTATACATACATACATACATACATACATACATACATACATACATACATCAATAATAATATTAAAAACAAACTGATGATTCCTGGGTATATCCATATTCAAGTAGCTAAAAACCACGAATACCAGGAAATTTTGCAAAACTATAAAAGTTTTAATCCAATAAAACACCAAGCTTTCGTTGGCCACTGCCAACATCGTCAGGGTACATTCAAGTCAATGGGAAAGTTCTTTTATATAATAATGCACACACATGTAAGAAAAGTAGAGAGAGTGCAGGCAATGACACACAAACCATGACCAAAGTGCAGATTGGCCAGTCAGGACCCGTGACGCGATCTAGGAGCCGGGTGCAGACAGCATCTCACCTATAAAAGAACTTTCCCATCGACTTGAATGTACCCTGACGATGTTGGCAGTGGCCAACGAAAGCTTGGTGTTTTATTGGATTAAAACTTTTATAGTTTTGCAAAATTTCCTGGTGTTCGTGCTTTTTAGCTACTTGAATGTATGTATGTATGTATGTATGTATGTATGTATGTATGTATGTATGTATGTATAAACATAAAAAAGACATAGGCTTTTTGTGATCTATTCCTTCATCTGATGACATGACCCTCAGCTCACAAATCCCGGTGACTTTTAATAAAAAGTTTGGGTTAGCTGCTACCAAATTCCTTCTGATTTTTGACAGATGGAATGGGACTCTCTTTTCACAAAATGTAAATGTTGCCCAGACTGTTAGGAGGTCCTCAAAGAGACCCTTTTCAATACATTAAAAGGAAACAATTGTAGAAAGCACAAAGGGACTCTTTCATGACAATGAGATGCCTTCAAACCTCACATTGGCTGTCAGATGCTGGTTAGGGAGAGATAAAGACATGACCAAAATATTGCGAAGGTTTGAAGGGTGAATAAATCTTCTTGGGAGCTGGAGATCAGATAAAGTTCATCCCTGTTTTTTTCTATCTCNTGGACTAGGTGGCTGTGAGTAGTGAGGATGATTCTAGAGAAGGGCATGAAATTATGATAGAAGGATTTCAGGCCAGTACTTTAGAGATGATGGTGAAATTTAACATGAGCTAAATTTTAGTTCTGTTATCCAAAATCCTTCCATAACAAAACCAGGGATGGATTTTTTAAATAGGTTTTTATATGCAGAGTCCCCTCAACAATAATTCACACTGGTGCATTCAGAAAGTGTGAATCACATACATTTGCATTCAGAGGGGCAACAACAACAGCCACACAATTTCTGTCCAGAAGCGTCAAGCGAAGGATGAAAATGTGGGAAACAGAGAAATATTCTCTGTCTTTGGCCCCGCCCTTTCTTTATCTCTTCCGAAATTATTATTCATTGTTTTATTATATTTGATTTGTCTGCTATTTCTTTCCACCAGCTGTCGTGGACATGTTTTATTTATATGCTGGTGACTTTTCTATTTGCATAGAGGTTTTTCTTTTTCTTTTTGGCAGGGTGTGATCGCAATTATGTTAATAATTGCATTTCATCAAGAGCTGAGGTTCTGTCTTCTCATGATAGAATTGACAGAATTGCCTTAGTAAGACCGCACTTGTTTGGGCACCAAATTATAAAAAAGATGTTGAGGCTCTGGAAAGAGTGCAGAGAAGAGCAACGAAGATGATTAGGGGGCTGACACATTTATGACGGTTGCAGCGGCCCGGGGTCATGTGATCTCCTTTTGGGACCTTCTGACAAGCAAAAGCCAATGGAGAAACCAGATTCACTTAACAACCATCTTACTAACTTAACATCTGGAATGATTCACTTAAGAACTGTGGCAAGAACGGTTGTAATATGAGGCAAATCTCACTTAACCACTGTCTCACTTAGTGTTCTGTCCCAGCCTACGTGAGTCCTTGTTAAGCTCACAAGGAGAAACCCCTCTTCCAACAAGCAGGCTGGAACCGCAGGAAAAAAACAATCCCCTTTTATTATTCACAGACCTGGGTCAGTGTTCAAGGCAAACAAAACACAGTTCACAAAAACTCGATCCTCAACACGAATGGTTGCCTTTGGCAACCAGCACCTCCCACGCCTTCCCTTTTATAATGCAGCCAAGGCGTGGCTTCCTAATGCCTTCTCCTTTGCCTTTGAAGCCGCCCCTTTGCATTCCTCTGTCCTACTCGCTTCTCTTTATTTATTTATTTTATTTATTAAATTTATATACCGCCCTATCTCCCTTGCGGGACTCAGGGCGGTGAACTCTTGCCTGCGCATTCGTGCATTCGGGATTTGTCCCAGCTGTTCTTCATCACTGTCCAACTCAGGCTTCCAGCACAGCTGTGTCTCAGCCTGAGCGCGAGTAGAGGGGCCAGGCTTCTCGTCCGACTGTAAGTCTTGGAGAGAGCCTTCCTCTGACTCTGATGTCACTCCAGGCCCCTCCTCCTCCTCCTCTGATTCCTCAGACTCAGCTGCCGGGTCCACTGGCTAGCGAGGAATCACAACACTTAGCAACAGAAATATTGGGTTCAACGGTGGTCGTAAGTCAAGGACTACCTGTCTATGATCATTCATTCTTACCAGCAATTTTCCATGATCTGTGGTGATTTTCTCTTCGTTGATTTATTTCTTATGCCCATTTGGAGAAACGCATAGCAAATGTCAGAGAAGAGCAAAAATGGAAGGGTAGTTATATGTTCAAGAAATGTGACTTAGATCCGTTTGTAATAAAGCCTGAATCCAAAGCCTTTGTTTCTCATTTCTTCGTGTACTATGAAATTACATTTAATATCCATGGGCCCTTTCAGGAAAGATGTTAATATAACTTGTATTCTTAAGAACTGTAGTTAATGATCTTTGCTAATGCATGGTAATGTTAGTTTACATATTACCTATCTTTCCTCTGGGGATCCTCGGATTAGCCGCTAAACTATTTTAAGATTAGAAATGTCCCTTGCCTTATTCCATTATTTTCATGTCCACAGGAGAGTGTGGAATGGCTTAACACATTATTTCTTTTCTTTTCTTTAGCGTCTTGCTGAAGCAGCAGAAAAATTCCAGAAAGAACATCAGTGGCAGGATGAATTTGCGGTGAGTTCGCGTTTTTATTTTACTCACTTTCCCATGTATGATACTTTTGGATTTTCTAAAATTCCTTGTGTTTCCAAACACAATTGGCCAGTCTTCTATCCTATCCTATCCTATCCCATCCCATCCCATCCCATCCCATCCCATCCCATCTCATCCCATCCCGCATTCTGTTCTCTCTTCTCTTCTCTTCTCTTCTCTTCTCTTCTCTTCTCTTCTCTTCTCTTCTCTTCTCTTCTCTCCTCTCCTCTCCTCTCCTCTCCTCTCCTATCCCATCCCATCCCATCCCATCCCATCCCATCCCATCCCGCATTATCTATTCTATTCTATTCTATTCTATTCTATTCTATTCTATTCTATTCTATTCTGTTCTGTTCTGTTCTGTTCTGTTCTGTTCTGTTCTGTTCTGTTCTATTTACTCTACTCTACTCTACTCTACTCTACTCTACTCTACTCTACTCTACTCTACTCTACTCTACTCTACTCTACTCTACTCTATTTTTTATTCTATTCTATTCTATTCTATTCTATTCTATTCTATTCTATTCTATCTAATCCAACCCCCTGCTCAAGCAGGAGACCCTATACTATTCCAGACAAGTGGCTATCCAGTCTCTTCTTAAAAGCCTCCAGTGATGGAGGAAGGGAGGGAGGGAGGGAGGAAGGAAGGAAGGGAGGGAGGGAGGAAGGAAGGAAGGAAAAAAGAATACCATAATAACGGAAGGGACCTTGGAGTTCTTCTAGTCCAGCACCCTGCTCAAGCAGGAGACCTTATATCATTCCAAACAAGTGGCTGACCACTCTCTTCTTAAAAACCTCCAGTGATGGAGCACCCACAACTTCTGGAGGCAAGTCATTGCACTGATTAATTGTTAGGAAGTTTCTCCTTAATTCCAGGTTGCTTCTCTCCTTGATTAGTTTCCATCCATTGCTTCTTGCCCTACCTTCAGGTGCTTTGGAAAATAGGTTGACCCCTCTTCCTTGTGGCAGCTCCTTAGATATTGGAACACTGTTATCATGTCACCATGAATCCTTGTTTTCATTGAAGTAGACAGATCCAATTCCAGCAACCATTCTTCATATGCTTTAGCCTCCAGCCCCCTAATCATATTTCTTGCTTTTTTTCT